TCCATTGTTTTTCTTTTTCTCTTTCAATTCTTTTTTCAATAGTTCCATCTTTCCTTCTCCTAGTTCCTTATTTCTCTTTTATTATTATTATTATTATTATTATTGTGTTTTCTTTTTATCTTCTCTTTCTTGATCCATTCTTTTTCAGGTTCTTTCTTCAAGCTTCTACTTTCTCTTGTTCTGATTCTTCTCCTCCATCTCTTTTCCTCTTCTTCTTTTTCTTCTTCTTCTTCTTCTTCTTCTTCTTCATCTTCTTCTTCATCTTCTTCTTCTACAATTTTCCCTCTTTCTTTCCTTCTTGCTTTTCGATCATTCGTTTTACTCTTGTTTCGCTTCCACTCCTTCTTCTCCTTCTCCTCTTCCTCCTCCTCTTCTTTTTCTCCTTTTCTTTTTCTTCTTATTTCTTTTCTCTCTTTCTTTCTTGATTCATTCTTTTTCTCTTTCTCCAAACTTATTATTATTATTATTATTATTATCCTCTTTCTTTCTTTCTTGATTCACTCTTTTTTCCTTTCTTAAATCTTTTCTTCTTTTTATTGCCCATATAATTTTACTCTACCGACTTCGTCATGCTTTCTCCCTTTTTCTAAATTCTTTTCCTTCGCATGATTTTTCATTACTGGTTTTCAATTTTATCTCGTATTTTAAAAGTTTAAAATATTTCTACTCTGCACATTTCTTTATCTTTCTACCACTCTCTCATTCAATCTATATTCGTTCTTTCAAGAGAAGTGCTGAAAAGTTCTCGTCCCAACCCACTTCTCAAAATGTGATCAAATACCCAAATATTCAGACATTTGTTAATCACTTCTTGGTTGAGGAGATAACTTTCTGGCACGTTATATAACGTATAATAAATACTTGTATTTCTTATGTTAATTCTCTTTTTGTTTTTTTCATTCCGTCATTTTGTTTTTTCTCTTTTTTTAATGAGGAGCGACTGCTTCGTTTAATTTTCTAGTTTTTTTTTCCCATCATTTCTCTTTTTTCACTTAATTTTTTTCGTTTATTTTCACTTCATATTTTCCTTTTTCTTTCTTCTATTCATCATTACACTTTCTTTTATTTCTCTTATTTGTCCTGTTTAGCTTTCTTTCTTTCTTTTAATTTGTTTAATCTCTTGACGATGTTTCTTTTCTTTTTGCAGTTAATTTTTCATCTAATCTTTATTTCTTCTTGTTATCATGTTGATGTTAATGTTTCTTTCTTTTTGTCATTTTCTTTCTTTCTTTCTTTATTTTTCTTAAACTTTTTCTTTTTCTCTCGTTTCCTTCACGACGTTAAAATTTCTTTCTTATTATCGTATTTTGTTCCTTTTTTCTTCCACTTTTCATATAATCTTTTTTCTTGTTGTTGTCGTCTTGACGCTAATGTTTCTTCCAATCTTCCTTCCTACCTTTCTTTCTTTCTTTCTTTCTTTCGATTTGTCTCAATATCTATCCCTTGCCAGATCTTCTTTTCTTTTCTTTCCGTTCCTTGGCGTTTCTGTTCTTTTTTCAGTTAATTTTTCATTTAATCTTTTTTCTTTTCTTCCTGTCACCATCTGGAATACATATTTATAATACTTATTTTTTTTCTTTACTTTCTTCTTTTTTCTTCTTGTTGTCTTCATGCAATTAACGTTTTTCTTTCTTTCTTTCTTTCTTTCTTTCTTTCTATGTTTTTTCTTTCTTTTTTCTTTTGTTTCAATAGACAGATTACTATTTCATGCTTTCCTCAATTTGCCCGTTTCTCTTTCTTTCTTTCTTTCTTTCTTTCTTTCTTTCTTTTGTTTCAATAGACACATTACTCTTTCATGCTTTCCTCAATTTGCCCGTTTCTCTTTCTTTCTTTCAATAGACACATTACTCTTTCATGCTTTCCTCAATTTGCCCGTTTCTCTTTCTTTCTTTCTTTCTTTCTTTCTTTCTTTCTTTCTTTTGTTTTCTTTTTTTTTGTTTCAATAGACACATTACTCTTTCATTCTTTCCTTTCTTTTTCCCGTTTTCTTTCTTTTGTTTCAATAGATACATTACTATTTCATGCTTTCCTCAATTTGCCCGTTTCTCTCTTTCTTTTTTCTTTCTTTCTTTCTTTCTTTCTTTCTTTTTGTTTCAATAGACACATTACTATTTCATGCTTTCCTCAATTTGCCCATTTTCTCTTTCTTTCTTTCTTTCTTTCTTTCTTTCTTTCTTTCTTTCTTTCTTTCTTTTGTTTCAATAGATACATTACTATTTCATGCTTTCCTCAATTTGCCCGTTTTCTCTCTTTCTTTCTTTCTTTCTTTCTTTCTTTTCTTTCTTTTGTTTCCAATAGACACATTACTCTTTCATGCTTTCCTCAATTTGCCCGTTTTCTCTTTCTTTCTTTCTTTCTTTCTTCTTTTCTTTCTTTCTTTCTTTCTTTCTTTTGTTTCAATAGACACATTACTCTTTTCATGCTTTCCTCAATTTGCCTGTTTCTCTTTCTTTCTTTCTTTCTTTTTTCTTTCTTTCTTTCTTTCTTTCTTTTGTTTCAA